ATATATATATAATATAAGCAGTATCTGCATTTGAATTTGTTCCTGATCTACAATTCCATTGCCTAGCATGAAGATTTCGGAACTTGGTTGCTTTCTTTATTACGTGAAATAACTGAAGCTGAAATGTTAAACACTTTAACCAACATTTAGGTTGCAGTAAAACTATATGCTCTCCGTTACCTCTCGCACTTCCCCTTAAATAAAACTTTCATGGTGGACCTAGAGGGCAACAGTAATACATATAATTATATGTCCTGTCTGAACTTTTCTTATTACAAATAAAATACTATAGTAAGTGAATTTAACTGTTTTGATAATCTTTTAATATTAGCTCATATCACAAATAAGCATAAATCTCAAAAGAAGCATTTCAATGTATGTGTATATATGTGTTGTCGGGGGGGGGGGGGGTCTTTAGAATAATGAATGAAATTTCCATACCAAATAAACAGATAGATTGTTTTACAAAAATTCGGAGCAGGCACCTGCTACTCTTGTGCGCAATATTAAATCCGTCATGCCTGTCATGAAATCATATAAAATTCCCTAAGGGTTTGGAAAATTGAAGTAAATTGAAAAAAACTATATGATGAGGTGATTTACGAGTCTTAAAATTTCATCCCTAGGTGGATTTTGGATTGGTTCAGAATATGGTTGCCAGATTTCCTTTGGAAAATGCAATCTGCAATTTGTCCGTTGCATCAGCCAGTAGAAAAGCATGGTCATGGAACTTCGGTCAGAGATAGGATGCTGTTTAGATAAAGAAAGAATAACGGGAGACAAAAGAAAATCTTATTCCTTTAACAGAGAAAGAAAGATGCGAGAAGCTTCACTCTTTTTTATATTTATAAGATATAATATTATGTTAACCTTAATATTAAGTTTTTCCAGCTTGCATGGTATTTAGGTAGAAACATCGTTTGTAATATAAAAATTATACATTCATTATCCTAAAACTTTATGTCATTAATTTTTTTCCCTATGTTTCATTTTTAAATCAGGGAGAAGTAAAATTGTATTTCCTTTTCTTGATATTTTATTATATTACAAGAAATTATCGTTGGAACGATTTTGGAGGTTTTAACAAAATTATAAGGATTAGCAAATCATCATTTTGAAAGTTTTTACTGATACTAGCAAAATAGTAAAATGCAAAGCGTCCGTGTTGTACATGTACGTTTTTAAGTTATTTTTTGCTTGAAAGATAAAATATCAGAGACGTAAAATTTTAAGAAGAAAATTATCAAGTGGAGAAATGTTGGTAATAGGGTGTGTATCGGTTTGATAAAAATGCAGGGGGTCATCAAATCTGCAAAATAATTGAAAAGTAACCGTTTAAATTAACTCTAACTGTGAATTATATGCAATTTTAAAAAAAAATGTAGCAAAATTTGTAGACATTTACTTTGTAACATTGATTTCTGCATTGGTTTTAATAAAAAGTACCGAATTAAAAAAAATTATCTAAGATTTTGAGAGAAAATTAATACTCTATTTCTTAGTTTTGAAAATATGTCAAAGAGACGAAGATATTGTAAACTAGTTTGATCAAAAAAAAAATAATTAAACTGTAACTACATCATCTCGATATAACGGAAGAGTTTGTCAGATACTGAGGAAATTAACTCCGAAAATTTTTAGTTAAGATGGGGAGGGGGTACTTGTAGAGTCTTCCTATCATCAAGATGTAATGTTTGTTGATTTTGCTTTTTATAAAATACACTGCGACATTGATATTCTTTGAGGGTAAATTAATCCGGTAGAGTGTTGCTAGCATCAAGATTTTAAGTTTGTATTTCCTTTTTTAAATAGGACTTTTGTCTAAGGACCTCGTTTGCATTTCCTGTGAAAAATGTATACTTTATCATTGAGATATTTTGGGGGGAAGGGGGAATTTACCCCATAGATCGAAACTTGCCATCATCAAGTTGTAATATTGTTCGTGCTTTGAATAATATATTTTATTATTGATATTCTTTAAGATGAAATTTACGCCCAGAGAGTCTTTTTGTCATCAAGATGTACAGATGTAATGTATGCTTTTTCTGTAAAAAGTAAGTTCTGTATCAAATTATTTTAAGAGAGGAAATTTACCTTGTAAGGTTCTGTTGTTTTAAATATGTACGTAATGTTTGTTTTTTCTGTGAATAATATAAACTGTATCAGTGATAACTTTGGGGGGGGGGGGGGGGGGAGGGGGGTTACCCCCTAAAGTCCTGTTATCATCAAGTTGTAATGTTTGTTCCTGCTTTCAATATAATATATCATGTATCTTTGATGCTTTTTGGGGAAAAATTTACTCCGTAGATACTTGTTTTTTTTTAAGTGTAATGTTTGCTTTTTCTACGTATAATATAAACTGTATCAATAATATTTTTTGAAAGGAAATTTACCCCGTAGTTTTTTGTTACCGCCAAGATATTGTGAAGCATAAATTCTGTATCAGTGATATTCTTTTGGGGGAAATTTACCCAGTAAAGTCTTGCTATCTAAAAGATGGGTGTTTTGCTTTTAATTACTGTATATAAACTGTATCAATATCGTCTTTGAGAGGAAATTTACCCTGAAGAGTTTTCTGCGATTTTCAAAGTGTACACTTCGCTTTTCCTACGTATAAGATAAATTGTACCAATAATATTTTTTGAGAGGAAATTTACCCCGTAGATTTTTGTTACCGCCAAGATATTGTGAAGCATAAATTCTGTATCAGTGATATTCTTTGAGGGGAAAATTACACCGTAAAGACTTGCTATCTAAAAGATGGATGTTTTTGTTTTGCAATACGGTGTATAAACTGCATTAATGTCATTTTTGAGAGAAAAAATACCCTGTAGATTGTTGCCATCTTAACGATGTTTGCGAATCATAAATACTGTATTAGTGATTTTCTTTGGGGGGAAGTTTACCCCGTAAAGTCTTGCTATCATCAAGATGGTTGCTTTTGCTTTCAAACACCGTATATAAATTGAATCAATGTCATTTTTGAGAGGAAATTTACCCTGTAGAGTTTTGCGATTTTCGAAGTGTAATGTTCGCTTTTATGAGAGAGTGAATACTGTATCATTGATATTCTTTGGGGGGAAATCTACCCCGTAAAATCTTGCTATCTACAAGATTGGTGTTTTTGCTTTGAAATACTGTGTATATATTGTATTAATGTCATGTTTGAGAGAAAAATTACCCTGTAGATTGTTGCCATCTTCACGATGTTTGCGAAACATAAATACTGTATTAGTGATTTTCTTTGGGGGGAAATTTACCCCGTAAAGTCTTGCTATCATCAAGATGGTTGTTATTGCTTTCAAACACTGTATACAAACTGAATCAATGTCATTTTTGAGAGGAAATTTACCCTGTAGAGTTCTGCGATTTTCAAACTGTAATGTTCGCTTTTATGAGAGAGTGAATACTTTATCAGTGATATTCCTTGGGGGGAAATTTACCCCGTAAAGTCTTGCTATCTAAAAGATGGTTGCTTTTGCTTTGAAATACTGTAGGTAAACTGTATCAATGTCATTTTTGAGAGGAAATTTACCCTGTAGATTTTTGCTATTTTTAAGATGTGAATCAGGGATTTTCTTTTGGGGGAAATTTACCCCGTAAAATCTTGCTAAATTTTCAATATTTCCTCTATATATTTACATTTCAATTTGTTTGTGACACAAGATCGTAATTCTATTAGAAAAATGCTGATTTTTCACAATCTTATCAATAAACATCTTATAAAACTGTGGTTTTTGTTAGATTTTGTCAATACCTAAGGGCAAAATGCCTAAAACAGAAAAAAAGATTTTCTGTTTTGATTTTGGAATGCGTTATATTTAAACCTCGTTTCAGACAGCAAGAACGCTTATTTGTTTATTGGGAAGACGTACATGGCCAGAAGGGATTTTTTCCTATAGGCTACTAGTAAATTTAAAGAGTGGGTTCCAATCCCGTGACCTTTCAAAACTCGCCACTATATATATGTTTATAGGAATCTCGCATGATATAAATTGATGAGGAAATAAAAAAAATGAAAATCATTTAACAAATATTGTCGGGAAAACTGAAAACTTAAAAAAAAAAAACGAAGAACATATTTGGAGGGGGGGGGGGGGGTAGGGAGGTCTCTATTGTTCTCACTCATTTTCCATTACACTGTAAAAATGATGTATAGATTTTGAACACAATATATACATGTTTAGGTTTAACATGTTCAAGAAAATGTTTACATGCTAAACGCGAAGGGAACAAAACGCGTTTAAACTTCACATGTTTAGGATCTAAACATGTTGATATAGATAAGAGTTTGGAGTTACCAAGTAACTAACGTTTCTGTGCTAAACATGTTTAAGATGTAAACACAATCACAGGATGATGCAATTCGCGCCACTTTCTGAGGACAAAGGAATTGGTCAGTAATCAAGCGACCACATGCAGCCATGTTGGAAACATGATTGAGGGATCTTATCTTGGTAATGTTTATTTTCTTGTTTTTAAATGTTATGCCTGTTTTATGTACAAAAATATTTAATATATTAAGGTGAAAACTTTATTTGTTTCAAGATAATTAAGCATTTTTATATATAAAAAAAGGACATATTACAATATATAGATTTTGATTATATATATGGAGATTATGTGAGAAAGGATATTGTAATCAGACTCTCCAAGAGCGTCATTCCCTCATCCTGTTCATATATATATTGTCTGAATTCAAGAAAAAAAATGTACAGTATATCAAATCAGAGCCGTGTTACTCCCATTATGTAGTCAAATGATAAATAAATATCAGCGGCTTGGTCGACGAGAAGAATGATGACATGCTCTTGCTTAAAACCCCTTTTTGTATTCCTATTGCTACGTAAAATAATTTGTGAAAGTTGACATGAATAACATGTTCAATGATTAATGAGTAAAGATACTATAATTTTTAAAATCATAAAAACGTTATTTAATGAAAATCGGGATCGGTATGCATCTCACAGGTCGGGTTTGGACGGCACATTATTTTATTCGTGTAAACATGCTCCTCGATGGCAAAATGTTACCTCTTACCAATCTCCTGTCCATTTTCATCATCGTACGTGTAATCAGTTAATTTTATTTATAGTTAAAAGTGAGAGTTGAGGGAATCATATGAAAATTAGTATATATTTTTTTTCCCCAGTTTATTCAGATTATGGACCAATATGCTGCATCAATAAAAGAAGATATAGAACTGTTTCTTTTAAATCATGTGCCATCGAAGACATTAATCCGTGCCAATAACACCGAGGTACTGGGTTCCTTGAAGATAGAGGCAGAGGACCTATCAGAGGAAGAGACAGACAGGTTAATTTATTACTTAGTGGGAACATTCCCACAATTGAGAGATTTGGGGGCGTACGACATCTCGGAATTGGTCCATGACACTGTTAAATTTGTGATAAAAAGAAGCAAAGAAAGAGGTATGTGTATTTCTTTCTTTGCAGTTCTCTGCCTTTAAATACTGAAATCTATTATATATGTACAAAGATTTCTTGACATGTAGTTATTAATATATAATTATTATATTGTCTGTCAGTCAATAGTGACTTGAATCTTCACCATTTGCATTTTGAACATACAGTACATGTAGTTCTTCCAATTAACAAGAACAGATATATGGGTTACCCCATATCCAAGATATTCGACTTTTAATTTATTCGAATTTTCATTATGCTCAGATGATTTCTAATTAAAAAAAAACTATTTACTGATAAAAGGTCAGAGATACTCAAGCTGTAGAATGTCAACTATACAATGGCCATAAATATCCTGAAATGACATAATATTTAGGCTACTGAGTTTCAACATCTTTTGTTGATTAAAATATGCATGTGTTAAGGAAACTGCATGTACATATATAACGTTACATGCGTGTAGTGACTTATTATCACAACGTTGCAGATGCCTAAAAAATAGTTTTAATTTCCCATAGAACATAGACTAAATATAATTAACCGTATGATTTTAAAGATGTATTTAACAGCTCACTCATTTTCAGGAATATTTTAATCCAGATAGCATGTTACAGGCCTGTAGCAACGTTTTCAAAGTGAAAGGGGGGGGGGGCTCCGAAAAAATCCCGCGTACTATGGGCCTGTGCTACATGTGTACCATCTAACTTTCCAATGATAGAATCTTCTGTAAAAATTCGAAACAAGTCCAAGCAAAGATCAAAGATAGCCCAATTTTTTAAATAGCAAAACTATAGAACTATCAAGGATAGATTTTAATTTATTTTTTAATTTTGTGCTATTAAAGTACTATCACTCAAAGTATAGGCAGATGTTAAAGATGGGTCAACAAGAGTAATCAATGGACTCGTCTAGAGATGCATTGACGGCCGTTGTTAAACGCAAAGTAAAGCGCGAGATCGGTTGCGGCTGTGGAGCGTCACTGAACATTCCTTCGTCATAGAATAAAATCCGACATTTAACACTTTATATAGACTTTGAATATAGAGACGTTTTGAAGATGAACTACATTTTTGTTTCTAGAAATGTTTTTATTTACAAAAATAGTATATTTTCGTGTTTATAAACTGAGTAGATCAATGACCTAGCATTGTTTTAGATAACTCAGCCCCTCTAGCCCAGTCTAGGGCTTGAGTAAAAAACCTGCACTTGTTATGAAACTGGTGTATAGTTCTTCCTCATGTCCGTAGCAAATACTGATACCCATTCTACATGATCTAAGCGTCGCTAGCGAACGGTGCACATACCTGTGCTTGCAAGACCAAATAGACTAGGTTTACACACGTGCGAAGATCCTTTCCGACGAGCTCGGCAAATCACGTTGCTTTGCCGAGAAGTTACGATTGCAGGTGTTTAACAATAATATCCATTCCGTTATTTAAAAAAAAAGAGAAAAAAAAACAACACACAGTTAATGATTAACATTCTCACTCAAAAGAAAATATACGGCAATTAACGAACAATAATCATGACAGGTATATAATTGGTGAAAAGATTTATCACTATCAATCGAAGGATGACCTATATATTTTCGTGAAAAAGACTGAGGAGGCAGAGAGCGTAGGAATATGAAAACTTTTTATTTCCTTTTTTGGGGAAAAGTGGTTTTCTTAAAATCTTTTTACGTTAATTTTGTTTTCTTTAACGAATTAAATATACATCATTATTCTTAACATTTGTTGTAATGTTGTATCTACTGATCATGAATGGAATTATTTTCTTCGGAGCAATTGTGTGAAGAGTACCTGACTTTAGTAATATATCTTGAATAGATAATATGCACTGATCGAATATATTAAAAATAGGCAAAATATAGAATATGGGTACAGAATGTTCAGGTCAAGTTGTATATTTTATGGAGGGGTTGCTTTCAGTTTTATAGTCACCCTTCATAACATCAGGATTCATTTGTAAATATAGTGCTGGTGTGCCAACATGTTGATTCAAATTTCATCAATTCTTGCTAAATGAGAAATGTGTATAATGTTGATAAAGTCGCATGGTGTACATACATTGAAAGGACCAGTATTTGAACATTCATTTAAAAGCTGTGGTGTGGCTTCAGTAAATGGAATACAAATACTGTAAAAAGGCCAAATACAAATTATCATAATTTTTGTAAATTGTTTATATTTTTTTAAATGAAGTCATTAATTTTCTTTTTTCATTAACTTAGGAAATATGTCTATTGATGAGAAATCTTCACTGGATGATGTTTATAATTGGCTGATTGGGAATGGTATCAGCATTGAGACAAGTTCCATATTCAAAGGTATATATTTAATTCAGTTTTATAGTGCACATTTAAAGTTTTTGTTCTATATTATCAAATTTATTCTATTTTCCCTGCCAATGCAAGTTATTAATCAAGTTTAACTAGTCAACAAATTAACAAAACATCTCTTTTCTTAAAAATTACTTAATCCTATAGTTAGTAGATTGTGTTGTTTTCATGTCCCCAGATGACATATACAATTTTGTATTTCTTTTTTCTTTAGGTTCATTTTGATGCATGCATGTGCATGCCAATTAGGGAAATATGAGCTTGCAAAATTACTGTAGCATGTGCCCTTTTTTCTGCCACAGCAAAGATAGGTTATATGGACATTTATTAAGAAGGCATAAGTTTGAACCAAACTTTATAGTACATTGCAGCAGGGCAGGATGTGGGGCCTCTTTTAAAACTGTGGCAGGATTGAGGACCCATCATTACAGAAAGCATGCCAATGATCCTGAGGCTGAAAATTCTGACAATGATATACTAGATATTAATGATGATCAGGATGATATAGAAACAGAGACTGAAGACTTTATGAAAAAATGGGAAGCACAATTTATCTTGATGCTAGTGGCTCAGCACAATTTATCTCAAAAAGCCATTGATGACATTTTAGTATCAATGAAACAAATGAATAGCTTTCGAAATAGCTTAATGAAAGAACATATACGGTCACAAATGTCGGAAGATTTGTTCGCCAGAATTGACCTGGATGAAATATTTTCAGACAATATGTTTGAGGGATTAGAGTCAAAATATTTGCGAGAAAAATATTTTGAAAGATACCTTGGTTATGTTAAACCAGTTGCTGTAAAATTAGGAGAGAAACGTGTAAATGTGAAATTGCAAAACAAATACCGGTTCATAGAAAAAGATGTCTTGGGATACTATGTTCCATTTTTCTGTCAACTCCATGAGATTTTAAAGATGCCAGAAGTACAACAAGAACTTCATGCTCCCAAGAGGTCTGATTTTCAATTTTCTGACATTAGAGATGGTGCACATTTTCAGAACCCTTTTCTAAGAGATCATCCTGATGCATTGTTATTTTGCCTTTACCATGATGACTTTGAAATTGTGAATCCAATTGGTTCACATCGCAAAAAACATAAACTTTCTGTATTTTATTGGACTCTACTGAATATTGGGCCGGAAAATCGTTTCAAATTACAGGCAACACAACTACTGGCGATTGGAAAATCTACAGACCTGAGAAAGTATGGTCTATCAAATCTTCTTCAAGATTTTGTTGATTCATTGAACATTTTGCATGAAGGAAAACATTTCCTTATTGGAGAAGAAAGAAAAAAATATTATGGAATGCTTTACTGTGCTTTAGGAGACACTCCAGCTGCGCAGCTTATGGGAGGGTTTAAAGAAGGTGTTGGAATGGCAGAAAAACCGTGTCGAACCTGCGAAGTAAGATATGACAATTTAGCATCAAGTTTTTCAGAGGATGACTTTATTAAAAGGGATGAAGCAGAGCATAAAGATAGGTGTGATGTATTGGACCAAATTAAGGGAGAAACCAAGAAATATTGGTCTAAGCAATATGGCATCACTGGAAGAAGTATACTACTGAAGATTCCTGAATTTGAAGTAACCAAGTGCATATTGCATGATCCAATGCATGTTCTTCTAGAGGGAATAGTCAAATTAGAAATTCAGTTAATGCTTGAAACATTTATTGAAAAGACAAAATATTTCTCACTATCTTATCTCAATACTGTAATAAGAACTTTCAATTATACAACAGAAGAATCAACAGATAAACCACAGGAGATAGAAATGAAATCTTTGAGAAGACCAAACACCTTTCCAATGACTGCTATAGAGACAAAAACTTTTATGGAACTCTTACCTTTTATGATTGGAGAAAAAATTCAGCCTGATGATGAACACTGGAAAAATTTTATCAGACTATTAAAGATCACTCTTCTTGTTATTTCCCCTATTGCTTCTGATGAAACAATTGCAACACTAAAGCAACTGATACATGACCACAACTCAAATTTTTCCAAGTTATATCCAGATATTCAGTTTACACCAAAACTCCATTATCTTTGCCATTTTCCGAATCAAATCATTCACTTTGGCCCAGGCAGAAATCATTGGTGTGTTCGAATGGAAGCCAAACACAGTCTCTTTAAAAACAAGAAGTGGAAAAATTTCAAATCACTACCTTTGTCAGTTGCTTCATATCATCAGCAGTGGATGTGTCTACGACAGCTTAGTGTACAAAATGGAAAATCTGAAGTATATCTTTATTCTGGTGATTCAGTAGGCGTTGGGTCATCTATGAAATTTGCTGACTTGTGTGATGGTATGAAAGATGCAATACATAGAAATGAAACTCATATTCCTGATACAGTTCTTCAGACCAGTTGTGTAAAGCTAAAAGGGATAACATACAGAATTGGAAGTGTACTATTGAAGAATTATGATGAAGATGAGTTGGATTTTTGCGTAATCAGTGATATATATGTTTTAAATAACATCAAGTACTTTCAATGCAAACTACTAAATATCATTGAATATTGCCCCATATTTAATGCTTTTGCATGTAGACTAACAGAGGAAACTTTCTGTTTACCTGCACTAAGTATAAAATACAAATGGCCTCAGATTAGTCATACATTAAGGGGACAAATGTATGTAATGTTATTCAATGTAGATTTTTGTTGGTGTTAATCCTAAAATGAAGCCTGAATTCTCACATAGACATTAATAGGAAGTATTGTCTCTATATGAAAATTTTAATTTGCCACTACAGATAATGAAGTGGATGGATTCAGTTTAATAAATATGAAGGAGAGTGACATTTTTTTGATGATACCTGGAAAAGTTGGACCAGCAAGGAAAATTTGCACCCTTATTGAAAAAATTAGAAGAAATGAAGAAAAAAGTGAACAAAATATTGAGGGATATCGCATTATAGAATATAAGGAGGACTCAGCAGGGTGCAAGACCATAGAAATTGAACCTACTACGACACAGTCTGCAAATGATGATCCAACACCTCAGCCAATAGGAGGCTTACAAATCTATG